AGTCATGTGTATTTGGCTATGTTACAGTTCCGAAACACATGAGTTTCCTCTGAGAGGGAACTTTACATTTAGTCCAATAAGATACATTTTTTTATTACCCCCATGATAAAACTGCCACTACTACACCAATATACTTTGCTGTACCAGTCATTGTTGTGGTTATTAGGCTTTAAGCTGGAGTTGATTTTTTTTTTCTCCCTTAGCAGCTTCCACAGTAGCCTCTGATACTATGAGAGCTATTGAGGGAGGAAGCTTCCAGGTCAGTTGCAGCTCCATTGCTGTAAGTCCTGTGTTCAGATTACGTACTGTCTTCAGCAATAGGGTCTTACCTTCAAGTTCTGGGAGGCAACCAAGGGCTGTGACAATAGCCTGTGTTATTTGGGGAGTCTTTGGGACTACTCTGACCAACAACTTGAAGGGAGGTTTCTCCTGTCTGACACTGTGTTTGTTGTTGTATGGCCTTTAGCATTTTCAGTAAAGTACTCTAAGTTTAAAATAATAAGAAATATGGTAAAAGATCAAAAAAAATTTGATAAAATTAGAAATGTGAATACAAAACTACAACTTAAAGTTGAATGTATTCTGAAAACTTTACCATGAATATGAAAGGCCAGAGATGGACCAAAATTGGGAGGGAAGAGATGACAGGCATTGTCTTCCTTGAGTGCACACAGTGTATGCATATGTAACTTTCCACAGCACTCAACCACTTTAAGATCTGGGAGTGCACACAAGGGATCTGGAAGTGTATGTTGGGAGATATTTAAGTGTGACGATATGGCTAAAACAACTTCATCTTGTATTCTTGGAGCCAGGCAAGCTTGACTCAGGACTAAGTCTAGTTCCAGTAATTCCCCCTTCCTTCCCCTAATTCCAAGAAATAGCTGACCACACAGGCTGTAACTGCTTGTGCTTCTGTATCTTTGCTTGCTTGCTTAAGCAGGAACTGACTTGTTTAAGATACCCCATGACTTGTAACCACATGACTTGTTTATCTAAGATACTGATGACTTGTAACCCCATGATTGCCCCATGATATCTTATGGTTTTTGCCTTTAAAAGCTTTGCCTTTCTCCCTGCCAGCACTGCAGTCTCTACTCCCCATCTGGAGTTGCAGTTGGCTGGCAAGTCTAATAAATAATTTGGCAGACTGGATTCTGATCAAGTCTGAGTGGTCTTTCCAATGGTCCAGTGGAACTTTGAGGGGAGGCAGTCTGCACAGGAAAATAGAAGCCTCTATTGGTCTGTTTGGACACAAAGTCCATGGGCAGAAACTATAGGAAGGAATCTGGGAGTCAGCAGAAAGGTGTAAAGCATCAGTGAACAGTGGAGCAGAGACTCAGACATGGGTGTGGTCATCAGTGGTACAAGCCTGGGGAACACAGATGGTAGCATTGGGGTCAGTTGCAGGAGACAAAGGACAGATGGAAGGGAAAAGGCAAGTGTTTGTCTATATCTAGAAATATTCTGTCAATTCCCTCTTCTGTCATGACTTTTAATTCCTTATATATTAAAATATTTAGAATTGTCCAGGAACTTTGTGATGCTGCTTTTCTTTCTTTTGAAACGTTTCTGTTTTAGAACATTGCTATCACATGCTAAAAAATTCACCATTTTTCTGCAAATGTCTAATGTACCATCTGGATGTTGTTTTCATGTCTAGTTAGATTTATGCCCTTTTGAAAATTTTGTGTGTGTGTCTGTGTGTGTCTGTGTGTGGTGTATGTGATATGCATACATCACAGTGCATGTGTGGAGGTTAGAAAACAACTTTCAAGGGTTGGTTTCCCTCCTTCCACCAAGGGATTTGGGGATCAAATTTCAGGTTTATGGCAAGCCCTGTTACTGGTAGAGTCATTCTACCAACCTGGGTTTTTTTGTTTTTTTGTTATGATGCTCTACCTCTTTCCTCTCCCCCTTTCTTTCATAGAGTTTGACTACCCAGTTTAGGCTGCCCTTGAACTCTCAATCCTTCTGCCTCACTGCCTTAGCCTAATCCTGTGGCGATGTGAACAAATACCTATTCATCCCAGAAAGGGAAACAATGAAAGACCAAAGTAAAGCACACCACCAAGTCCAACTTGGTGAACCAGTTAAGTTTTATTGGGGCTACTTAATAGGACCAGAAATGATACGAAAGACCACCCCAACATGGGTGACAACTCAGGAAAACTGCAAACCTGCAGACAGCTCAAGAGATTGGAGTGTGTCTCTTCCAGGCAGGTCGGCTGGTCTCTGCCTTTTCCAGGAACTCCCGCTGGTCTCTCTTCAAGCAGCATAGCTAGTATGCCCCTTCCTGGCAGCTCAGTTGGTTTCTGCCTCTTCTTGGTAGCTCAGCTTGTCTGAGAGTATCCCTCAGAAGTCCTTACTGTTTATGTAAGTCTGGTCAGTTTCAAGGACATCCTGAAACTTCTCACCTGTTTTCCTCCTGACTTCATCTAATTTCACCTTCCTTTAGAACATCCTCAGTCTTAACAAGCTTCTCTCCAAGACAGAATGTTTTATCTGGGAGAAAATTTGCTATGCAACACCACACCTGGCTGATCGTCCATGTTTTTACTTTTTTGGGGGGGAGGGGAAATAATAGGGTCTTATGTAGCCCAGGCTGGCCTCAAACTTGCTATGCAGCCAAAGGATGACCTTGAACTTCTGAATCTCTTGCCTTCACCTTCCAAGTGCTGTTTGCTGATGTGTACCACTGTGCCGTTTGAATACAGGGCTTTATGCATGCTAGGTAGGAAAGCACTCTAACTGAACTACAACCCCAGTCCTACTTAATTTGTAGGTCAATGTGGATTATGAGATTATTCCCCTCATTTTGGGCCATCTCCTTGTGTTTTTGTACATAATGCTTTGCGATTGCCTGGGTGCTGGATATGGCTAAGTAATCATGCAACCTTGGTCTGTTTGTACTTGTATTCTTGCTCCAATTATTCTCCAGCTCTGAAGCAAGTCTTCCTGAGTACCTATTCCAACCACATGAGGTGTGAGTTTTAGTCCAGTTAGTAGGAACAGGCACTTTTCCCAGTTAAGTGCCACAAAGTCTTCACTTTTCCTCCCGAAGAGTTCTTTGCCTGGCCCAGTGGTTTTCCCATCTGCAAGCTTCACTGTGTGTCTGCCCTGGGCAATCATCAGCTGGATGAATACTCAAGGGGCCCCAATGTGAATTCTTCAGTGATCCATGGGGCCCTTTCATCACTGGTGCTCTGCTCCATTAACTCTGGCAGCCTGGGCTCTCAGCTTGGCTTCCTCAATGCAGGTAGTCCTGTGCTCTACCCCTACTGCTAGGTAAGCCTCAGTACTCTGGAGCTCAGCATTTCCCATCTTTTGTGTATGTGATACTTGAGTCACAGCCAGGTTCTTGCACATACTAGGCAAACTCTCCAGCCCTGTCTTTTTCTGAAACCTAAGTGTCTTGAAACCATTGCTTCACATATTTTGACTGGCTTATTGGTTGTTTCAAACAGGAAGATAAATCTGTTATTAGAGGCTGGAGAGATGGCTCAGTGGTTAAGAACACTGGCTGTTCTTGCAGAAGACCCAGGTTTGAATCCCAGCACTCATGTGGCAGCTAACAACTGTCTGTAACTCCAGTTCCAGGGGATCCAGCAGCCTCTTCTGTCCTCCGTAGGCACTGCATGACACAGGTGCACTTACCTACATGCAGGCAATACACTCATACACATAAAATAAAAATAATAAATAAAATATATTTTAAAAATCTGTTATTAAAGCTGTTGTTCCGTTATTGGTTGGAAATGAGAGTCCCTGGACAGTTTTTCTGCTTATTTCTACATCCATCCCAAACAGTCGTGGTAAACATAGAATTGCTGGGCCGTGGTAAGATATCTGTCACCAAGCCTGATGACCTGAGTTCAGTTAAGAGAGAACCAACACATGCAAGTTTTCCTCTGACCTGCAGAACACACTCCATGGTACATACATACATACAAATAAATAAATGTGAAAAGAGAAATTGATTTGCTAATGTTTCTTTCAAGGGAGTGCTTCCTGGTTGCCAGACTTTGTCCATATGATTCATCTGTTCTCACAACCATTACAGGTTATTTCACTCTCTTCTTCTCTTGACAATGAGGCCCACATGACACTGGTTTGCATCTCAGACAGGCCTGCGGTCCCAAGACCATGTTTTCACATATTTTTTTCCTGTGTGCATATTTCGCTGCAATCGCAGCAGAGCTGACTGAGCAAGAGGCTCTCGGGGTCTACATGCACACACTATGCTGGCTCTGTTCAGCATGCATGTTCCCTGGGTCTTATCCAGACACATGACAAGGAATGGGAAGTGCTCAGTGTAGGCAGGCAGTCAGAGGTCCATCACTCAGGCCCTCTCATTTCAAGTTTAGGGCTCCTGCCTCAGACTAGATCACACATTACCTACATGGTGTCAATGATGAGGAGGTGGAGGGCATTCTCAGCCTTTACCTTTGCTTGCTGATCAGCATCTTCTAGAAAATTCCAGCTTTACTTTTCTCCCTTTTCTTTTTTGAGGGGGGCTTTTTGAGACAGAGTATTACTATATAGCCTGGGCTAGCCCTTAACTTTTGGGTAGTTGTTCCTGCTTCAGCCTCCCAAATGCTAAGGTTATGAGCACGCACTACCACACCTGGCTTCTGACAATTCTTTAGTATTCTTGGGTCTGTATCTTATACAAAATCAGCCAAACAGCCAGCTGAAGCCTAGAATGACCAAGATAGTCGGGACACCAAGGGCCACAACTCCTCACTTAGGGAGATGACATGTGCCAGGTGGCCTGTCTGCTAGTCTGCTAGCTGGTCAGCCTGAACTGCTGTATGACAAGAAAAGTGATCCCCAGATACCAAAAGATGAACTTCTGCACAGGGGGCAGGGATGAGGGGATCAGATGACACCAAAAGAGTCTTCCAGGCTCCAATATTGTCACGGTCCACTTCAAGAGAAAGACCCACAGAGGGGAAGGACAGTGGACATTAGAAGGAAAAGGCAGGGAAGCCAGATGATTTGGTATCCAATGCATGTTCATTTATTTTACACTTAGAAAAGAAATTGCCCTCCCCGTTGACCCATTCCTCCCCAAGTGTTGCTTTTTACAAACATTTAAAAATTAAACCAAATGAGGATAGACAAGTTAATTTCAGTACAATTATTTTTCAGTGTAGCTGTCATAATTAGAGTTTAAATTTCCTACAAGTGACCAATGTCCAAGTAACTTATAGGGATATCCTGATTATTGACCAAAAGAAAAGTCCATATTACAAGTTAGCAAATTCTAGTACAAAAATAGTCCATGTGTCGGAACAGCTTTCCTTTTACACAGGCTTCAGGTCAGTCTGCTGACTGCATAATACCTAACATTTCCAGATTCTCGCTCTTAGAAATGGCTCATTCATCATAGCTGAAGCAGCACAGCACCCACAGTAGCAGGGGCCAGTGTCCATCTTGGGGCCAAGCTGGAGGAAACAGGCTCAGGCTCCTTACTGGCCCCATGCAGCCAGGCAGAGCCCCAGTTCCAGCCCCAGGTCCAGGGTGGAGCCTGGAGGGAGAGACGAGCTGCCCACTTCTAGAGCAATCTTGGGCCGGGACACAGGGCATGTCCACCCAGGGAACTGGGCTGGTGCTAGTACAGGACAACACATCTTCTGCAAAGTCTCTCCTCCCACTATCGCCCTGACAAGTGGGGGCTAGCACTGGACACCTGCCAGTGGCAAGAGTGTGGCCCTGCCATTGCTGCAGCCAGGGCAAGCCAGCACAGGCTACTTATCCCTCAGGATGTCAAGCTGTTCCTGGCACTCAGTAAAGAGGCGCTGGAAGCGAAGGTTCTGCCCGATGACTGGCAGCAGTTCCTTCAGCAGCTCCCTCTTCCGCAGACCCTGTGGACACAAGAGCACAGCTGAGTGGAAAGTTAGAGGAGATCCAGACTGTGGGGGCCTTTCCTAGCTTGGGAGAAACTCTTGTTAGAGGGAAGACAACGATTCCTCTGCACCTGATAAACCCAGAGAGCTGAAGACTGGGCCAGACGAGTGTACAGGAGGAAGGGGCACTGTGGTGTGGAGAGGAAAGAAGAGAGGGCAGGTTCTGCTCCCCATCTGTCCTACATTGCCAACACAGTCACTCCTAACCTTGTACTGCATGGGCATGAGCCTTTGAGGCTTAACTCTATAGAGTGGGACAGGTGGCTCAGCAGGACTGAGGGCTTAGAGGTTGCTGATGGACTAATACTCTCCAGGCACTGCAGGGTAATCCTGGGGTAAGGAGGCACCTAAAGGGATATATTGGCTTTGCTATTCTTCCTGGTATCTTCTGCCCCTGGCTCCTACCTAGGCCTGGGCAGTCTGGCACAGTCTGTAGTGACCATTACCAGGTGGGCTCTCTGCTGCACAGGCTAAGGAGCAGGTCCAAAGAACACAGCATCAAAGAGAAAAAGCCAGTCAAAATACATCTACAGAGAAAGCTCAGTACTTAAAACAAATGTGTCAGACAAATCTGTAAAACGACTAGAAGGCCAGAAAGGATTAAATAAATTTACTAGGTCTAGTGATATAGGGCCTGATGGAATCAGCAGAGACTGGGTGCTGCTTAAGACCAGGTCAGAGTTGGGGTGTCAACTCAGATGCAGGAGCTACCCCATCTGACAGGGCAGAAGTGGGAACATTGCAGGACTGAAGGCTGAGGGTGGGTAAAGGACTTGTCTAGAATATGTGAGATCCTAAGTTCAGTACTATCACACATAAACAACAAACCCCACAAATGTCATTTTATTTTAAATTTTATTTTTGGAACAGTATCCCATATACCTACCCACACTAGCCTTAAACTCCCTAAGTAGCTAAGGATGACTGTGAATACCTGATTTTCCTGCCTCTGCCTTCCTAAGTGCTGAGATGTACCACCACACTGGTTTTAAAGGTGCTAAGAACTGAACTGAGCTACACTCTCAACCCCAAATCCACCTAAAATGCTATTTACATATATTATACAGTATTCTTATGATGAGGAATGGAGCTTATGAGCAGGAATAGAACACTTGCACATCATGTACAAGACCCTGGGTTCCACCCCCAGGACACTGCAAAGGAAAAAAACAACACAAAACATATAACCATGGACACAGGAGTTAGAAGTTAAAGAGGAAAAAGGCCAAGGTATGAAAAGTAAACAAGGGGTCAGGGAGATGCTCATTAAGTGCTTGACTCTGAAGAAGTTAACCTTTAGCACAAAGAAATTCCAGGTTTGTAAAATGACTTCTAAGAAATACCCAAGAACTGGGTTTTCCAATCTTACAAACTTACAGAACACAGAAATGAAGAACAAACCCCAACTCTATTCTAATTTGTAAAAAACCCAGGCTCCCTGTGTAGCAAAGGATGACTTGATTCTAAAAACAAACAAGGACAGCAGGAAAATGAAAGACTCTGGACCTTTTCACCCATGATACCATGTGCCCCCTGAGGGGCGTGGCCTGCTGAGGAGAATTGACTGTGCAGAGCTAGCCACAGGAGGGGCTTTCTGCACCATCTTGGGACCGGAGCAGTGAACGGCCAGGCGCATGAGAACGAGTGGCCCAGCATTTTCCACCTGGGCGAGACTGGGGGCCCACAAGGTGTGGGCGAAAGCTAGTGGTGACTATGGACAGGGCTCGATGGTGATCTGGAGTGGCGGGCTCACAGGGGGAGTGATCTGGAATGGCGGGCTCTGAGCCATGGTGCAGATCTGGGCCCCGAGTAGTAGTTGTCTCTTTGTAAGTCACTCCCCCAAGGGCATAAACCATAATAAATTAATATAAAAATATGTTATATGGTTTGTCTGATAGGGCAAGAGACCCCAAGAGAACTCAGGTGACATATCATATGCACAAATCCCTCATAAATTGTTAGCAATCTTTACTAGTGAGACTATAATTAAGTTGGGTTTATCCAGGAAGGCAATGTGAATTTAATAACCAGAAAACTTATAATTTATTATATTAAAGATTTCAATACTGTACTGCTCAGCAAAAGTAATAAAGTAGATGAGGAGGTACTTAATTGGAAGCAGTTCACAGCACCTACATGGCAGATCACAACTTTCTGTAACTCCGGTTCCAAGGGATCTGATGCTCTCTTCTGACCTGTGACCACCAGAAACACACATGGTACACATACAGACAGGGAGGCAAACACTCATATATGTAAAATAAAACTAAATAAATCTCTTTTTAAAATTAATTTTATTTATTTTTATGTATATGAGTGTTTTGCCTGAACAGGCAACTCCCTGATCTTTAAGTGCCAACTTTGAGTTTGCATTTTCCTTTTTAAAAAGATGTTAGAGTCTCTGTGACAGCCTCCTGAAAGGTAAGACTGTTCTACATTATTCAAGTACATATATTCATGCAATTCTTTTCCGACTACCTTCAACCAAAATTTCCACACACATCTCCACACACCATTTTTCTTTCTCTGCAAGTCCCTCTCCTCTACTTCTTAAGTTGCAATCACTGATTACACTGTGATTTCTTTCTTCTCTTTATTTTCTCCAGTCATACCCACAATAACTAATATACTGGTACACATAGTACTATCCTGGTACACAGAGTATCCCTTTACTCTCCAAGCAATTCACACATAAGGAATGACTATATTATAGTTAACTGGCACTCCATTTTCACAGGGGTTTACTGCTGGACAGCAACTGTAGTTGCACACAGTACTCAACTTGCAGTGGAGATCTGGGAATAGAGCCTACTGCCCTAAACAACAGTCTAAAAGAAAAAAAGTCACCTCAACCCTGAACACTGCAAACAGCCCCATGAAAAGTAGGAAGGCACCACAGATTAAAAACAACAAAAATCATAACCAACAATCTAACCCTGGACACATAGGAGCAAAAACAGCAGGAACATTAAAAAAGAAAAAAAGAACGAAGGAAGGAAGGAAAAGAGAGAGAGAAAGAAGGAAAGAAAAAAGAAAGAAAGAAAGTAAGTTTGTCTTTTCCAAAATGACCATTTCCACAGTAATGCCCCCAACGAAAATGACTTAGACAATATTTCAGACACATAGTTCAAAGGAACAATTATAGATATGTTCAAACAACCATAAGAGGGCACAAATATATTCCAAGAGAGCACAGATAGCTGGATGAAATAAGGACAATAATCCAGGGTATGAAAACAGAACTCATACAACATACCAAAATTAAAGCAAAATGAAATAAGGCATTTAAACAGATCAATAACCAGCAATGAGATTGAAGCAGTAATAAAAATTCTCCCAACTAAAAGATGTTCAGGACCAGTTAGACTCAATGTAGAATTCTACCAAAACTTCTAAGAATTAACACCAATACTACTTGTTTTAGTTTGCTTTTAATAGCTGTGCTAAAACACTGACCAAAATCAACTTAAGGAAGAAAGGGTTTATTGCATCTTACACACCCAAGTGACAGTCTATCCTTAAGAGAAATCAGTTTGCTTTTAATAGCTGTGCTAAAACACTGACCAAAATCAACTTAAGGAAGAAAGGGTTTATTGCATCTTACACACCCAAGTGACAGTCTATCCTTAAGAGAAATCATGACAGGAATCCAGGACAGGAACCTGGAGGCAGGAACTGAAGCATGGACCACAGAGGAACACTGCTTACTGGTTGTTCCTCTGGTCTATGTTCAGCTTTTCTTTCTTTTTTTTTTTTTTAATATTTTATTTTATATGTATGAGTGTATTGCCTGCATGCATCTATGCACACCCATGTCATACAATGCCCACAGAGGTCCGCAGCTCCAGTTCCAGGCGATCTGATGTTCAGCCTGCTTACTTATGCAACCCAAGACAAACTGCCCAGGGATGGCACCATTCACCATGGGCTGAGCCCTCCCACATCACTCAACAATCAAGAAAGTGCCTCACAGACACATCCATAGACTAATTTGATAGAGGAAATCCCCAGTTTAAGTTCTCTCTTCAGGTGTGTCAAGTTAACAACCAAAGCCAGCCATAACTCTACTCAAATGGTTCCATGAAATAGAAAAGGGAAGCTCCTAAACTCTTTATAGAGCCAATATTACCCTGATAACAAAACCAAAAATAGAAAAAAAACAAAAGAAGATTATAAACTAATCCCCTTAATGAAACAGATGTATAAAATCTCCATAAAATTCTGGCAAAGCAAATTCAAGCTTATATCAAAAAGATCATTCATCATGTCCAAGTTGGCTTCATTCCAGAGATGAAGGGCTAGTCCAACATACATAAATCAACAAATGCTATCCATCATATAAATAGATTCTAAAACCAAAATCACTTGATCACTTCATTAGATGAAGAAAAGGCCTTTGACAAAAATTCAACATCCCTTCATGATAAAATTCACAGAATCACTAGGGATGGAGGGATCATACCTCAGCATAATAAAGGCTATATATAAAAACAAACCTATAGTCAACATCATACTAAATGGAGAAAAATTCAAAGCATTCACATGGTATTTACTTTTCTGTTGCTGTGATAGAAGCACTGACCAAAGCAACTTATAGAAGGAAGAGTTTATTTGCACTTAAGGTTTCAGGGGATTTACAGTCCATTATGGTGGGAAAGGTGACAGGAGGTGGCTGGAGCAGGAGCAGAAGCTAAGCTCTCACATCTTCGAGCAGGCTCAGGAAACAAGAGAGCGACTCAAGATCTGGCAAGGCTTAAGAACTCTCGAAACCCACCGCCCGTGATGTGCTTCCTCCATCTTCTAAGACCTCCCAAAAAGAGTGCCACCAAATGGGGACAAAAATGTCCAAATACTTGGAGCCTATGGGAGACATTCTCATTCAAACCATCACATCCATTAAGATCAGAAACAAGACAACATGTTCACTCTCCACTGCTATTCAATATAGTGCCTGAAGC